GTTAAAGCATCAGAGCCAGTCCTCATTATCACCAAATATGATTGCACTAATTACCATCCATATTACTAAATATGGACATGCATGTACTAATTACCATATTACCAAATATGGACATGCATGTATTTATTACCATATTACCAAATATGGAGATGCATGTATTTATTACCATATTTCTAAATATGGACATGCATGTACTAATTACCATATTACCAAATATGGTCATGCATGTGCTAATTACCATATAAGAAGAAGTTAAACTGAAGTCAGATTTATTCAACTCTGAGAACGAATAATTTGAATTTGAAAATTTTCACACGAATATTTTCAGACAGGCTGTACTTAATATGTGATTTTGTAATTGTTTTGATGTGGAATAACAACACCGAGAGTAGAAAAGTCACAGATAATACTTGAAAATATGCCACATATGGTAATATTGAAGACTGGTTACTATGGTAATACACAAATAAATAAAAACACAGATATGCTAAAAATAAATAAGGCACTTTATCAAAACAATGAAAGCACCTGTAGAATTGTGAAAACAATGAAAATGAAATGTTTTAGTAAACAAAAAAGGTTATTAAATATAATGTGTAAGATTAAATACATTGTTACAATATTTAAATATAATTTGCATACAAGCTTGGCAGTATCTGCATATGATAAGCATAAAAAAAACCTTCGTCTTAACATTCACTATGGAATATTCAAGTTCACTATCAAAAAATGCAAAAATTATTTAAATATATTTAATGTTCATTAGCATGGTAACCAGAATAAGGTATAAATTGAATAATAATTTCACTGCAACCCAAAATAAACTAAATTACATATTAGTATGTACTGGATTATAACATGATGTATGCATTCAACATGCCTTATTGTTATTATTACACATTTGAAAATAAATCAATTCATTATAATTCAATGAATGTATTCTGGTCATGATCAAAGAAAATTGAAATCAAATCATTATACCATTCAATGAAAGTTGAAATCAACTCATATTATCATTCAATCAATGTATTCTGGTCATGATCATAGAAAATTGAAACCAAAACATATTACCATTCAATGAATATATTCTTTTCATGATCATAGAAAGATGAAATCAAATCATATTACAATTCAATGAATGTATTCTGGTCATGATCATAGAAAGATGAAACCAAATAATATTACAATTTGATGAATGTATTCTGGTCATGATCATAGAAAGATGAAATCAAATCATATCACAATTCAATGAATGTATTCTGGTCATGATCATAGAAAGATGAAATCAAATCATATCACAATTCGATGAATGTATTCTGGTCATGATCACACAAAATTGAAATAAAATCATAATACCATTCAATGAAAGTTAATAGCAAATCATATTACCGTTCAAAATCATATAAACACATTTTTTCTTGATTATAGATTTAAAAAACAAAATATTGTAATTAAAATGAAGCAATATGTTTGGTTGACATATGTTTGGGTTATCAAGGAATGATAGCGGTGACAAGAAAATGTTTGGAGGTCAAATTAAAAAACAATTGCTTTTAAATACTCTGATCCAGAACAAATCAAATCATTACGTAATTTGACATTAGCACAGTTACACTGACATATAAAATATTTGTGTCTTATTTGAATAATTACCATATTGACTGCATAAATCATGTTATAGTCCCCTCTGAAATCAACAAAATGATGACATATTCTTGGCCCCACAAAAAATGTATATTGTTTTTTATACTAGGAAAGCAATACCTAATACCATTGAGGTAAAATTGCTAAATTTTTTTTTAAAATTTATATGTTTTATAAAAGTGTAGCTAACTTTTGACATAAAAGCGAAATATATACAAATAACACAAACATTCACACCTGTGTGTGAACACCAAAATGCAGGCGGGTATTAATATTTGTTAACGACAGCCTCTTGAAAGCAAAACTTCTTACGTTAACACTAATACTAATCATTATATTTAATATAAATGTAAATTTTAAAATTAAAATAAATGTAAATTGCATCGTTCCAATTTATAGTTGAATGAATAATTAATTAATTTCCTTTTAAATTTTCCCATTAGTGTTTTCATTAATTCAAACGACAACAATTAAAGTTCTAAAAAAATACAATATTTCTATTAATATTGTTTGAGTTAAAGGTCCATATTACATAGGCGGGAAATATATTCACTTTTTTAACAGTTTTATCCTCTAGTGATGAAACATTCCTAAGACGTAGAAAAGAAGACAGTTCGCAGCACCGTTATTTCTTTGATTTGTAGCCGCCAATATTGATGTTACTAGTGACTTACTATTAAAGTTCAATATGACTTCACAACCAAACAAAATCATTATGATCCACATTTACTTTCTTCCCTTCAAAGTCAACAATCTATCTTAGAGAGCGCCACATATAAGAAAGGTGTACTTTCCGTGTTTGTACAACACTGGATTTTAGTTTTGTCTTCAAGTATGAAACAAAGACTATCTGTTATACTATATTCAATCTACAAAATAATCACACAAACTCCTAGACTAACTGATGTGGTTTCTCACATGACAAACTACTCACATCATTGTGAGGGAATTTCCACAGAAAAATATGTAAAAAATAATTAAGCTGCAATACAAGTTTAAAAAAAAAGTCAAGTGACACATTTATTTAAATTTTTGTTCCAGAATTTGTTCTGAACACATTCAAATAAACTATCTAAGTTTGTTTTCTATTTAAAAGGTTCATTCAAAAAGAAAACAAAAACAAATAATAACTACATATTTAAGGTAAGAAAATGCACATTTTTAACCAACAAGAAAAATGAAAACCAATTTTTACAAAAATATGAAAAGCTCCAAGGATTTGTGAAATTATACCACTCAACCTAACCTAGAGGGCACTGTTTCCCCAGCTGAAAATATTTATAGTGATTCATATTGAGGGCGCTGCACACAAGGAGGCTATACAGTCAACCTTGTGATTGTCCACAGCTGTTTTGACAGTTTTAATTTTCAAGCAAATATATTCTTTAGCAGAAAACTTTTCCAATAAAAGACCTTTTTCAGACACTAGAATAAAGCAGGTATCTCCCTTGTGAGAAACGAATAAGCATTTTTTTCATTTACATCAGTGATGATAATAAAATGATGATTCAATCAAGATATTAATTAATAATCACACGTTAGATTTAACTATTTGTTCTGTTTTCAACTATCTTCCAAATCAGGAAAAAACACATAATCATTGAAAATATTTTATATTATTATAATCACTTTTTAACAAACATAATTAATTTATTTATATTTACAAAAGTTTAGTTTCAAGAGATGAGAGAAAGGGGTATTCACAGATAGACAGACAGACAGACCATGTTTTGATATTTGTATGCAGTAGTTGCATGGGTTATATTACATTGTTTACTTCATATAAATGTAGTATATTCAAAATGAATACAGGCTCAATGAATTTATTCATTCATAGACAGGTCTGAATTCAATCTACAGTCAGGTCTGATTTAATCCATACTAAGACAGATCTGAAGTTAATTGATACTAAGACAGGTCTCAAATTAATCCACACAGATAGGTCTGAATTTAATCTATGCATAGACATGTCTGATTTAATCCATACTAAGACAGGTCTGAATTTAATCCACACAAACAAGTCTAAATTTAATCCACACAAACAGGGCTGAATTTAATCCACACAAACAGGTCTGAATTAAATCCACACAGTCAGGTCTGAATTTAATCCACACAAACAGGTCTGAATTTAATCCACACAAACAGGGCTGAATTTAATCCACACAAACAGGTCTGAATTTAATCCACACAAACAGGTTTGAATTAAATCCACACAGTCAGGTCTGAATTAAATCCACACAAACAGGGCTGAATTTAATCCACACAAACAGGTCTGAATTAAATCCACACAGTCAGGTCTGAATTAAATCCACACAAACAGGGCTGAATTTAATCCACACAAACAGGTCTGAATTAAATCCACACAGTCAGGTCTGAATTTAATCCACACAAACAGGTCTGAATTAAATCCACACAGTCAGGTCTGAATTAAATCTGTACAGTGACCATGCAGATATGGTCTGCTTTTAAATTATCTGTATATAGTCAATAGATGAAGAAGTTGTTTTAATCTAGACCTGGATTTAAATCACATCCTGTTTTAATCCATAAATTTAATCCGCAGGGTAAACCCAATTTTGATCCACACATATACAACCCTAGTAATAATCCATATAAATATAGACCTTGATTTAATCAACAGGAATGTACACCAGATGCAGATTTAATCAATGTGCATATTACCTCACATCAATCCACATATTATATAAACCTTTTATATTCCAACATACATCATACATCGAATACAGCTATATTTTTCAAAATATTTTGTTAGTTCATTTAACAAAACTAAAAAGCATACTATATTGTCACTTTTATCACATTCAGCAGTACAGAAGATAGAGATCGCTATCTACAAATGTTACAAAAATCAAAGTACAATCAAAATGGAGATAGTACATTCTTAAATATAAAACAGGTTTAGGTCCAAAAATATTTCAATTTTTTTTTTTACAAGTTAACATTCGGCAAATGTAAAACACACCTCTATATTGCACTGTCCATCGACACAAAAATACAAATCCTATATCTGGACTCACCCACCTGTACCTTCAATATTTCTATTTTCTGTAGGAAAAGTTCGACAACTATTTACTGTGAAAAACCATTCATTTTCACTCGTTTTTTTTGTGTATATATCTTACATCAACAAACAGTAAATAAACAAACCATAGAGAGAAAAAAATACACACAAAACAGCCAAAATTATCTTTTTAAGGAAAGAAATTCCAACATTACTAAAAGTATTTTACAGTATATAAAATACGCATACATGAAAAGCATTTACATTTACAGCACCCCTCCCCACCCCACCCCACCCTGACATCAAGCCTATGTATTAATAGTATCGTAATTACTTGTGTCACCCATTCGAAGTTGTCCCCTAGGAGCTACCATAACATCGTCAATCAATGATGAATCCAAGTTGTGGTAATCGTTAAACGACATGCTATCATCTTTACGAAGCTCTATCGTCCAGAAGGGCAGAGGCGTTTTACGATAATGTTTACGACGATACATGTAGAAAACACTTCCAGCAATCATACATATTACGACAAGGGCAATCACGACAATTATGGTGATGACGTTTATAGTACTGTTGGCGGTCGTCGGTTTATCTGGTTTATAATCTGCAAAACAAACAAAAACATTGTTGCAATTGTAATGTACTTAATTAGACAGTGAGAGCTCATGAATATTCATGAAATTTGAATTTGCATAAAACTATAATTATAGTAAAGATGTATAAATGTTGTGATGTTAGTAAGGGATTTGTTTAGACAGTAAACAATAACAAGTCAAACAGCCGATGCTAAACAATAAAGCCTTTTAAAAAAGTGTTGTTTCTATTCCTACGAGTATTTCTCACACAGTGTCATGGAAAAAACTTTTTGACTAGCTGATTATGTTTATTTTATTTAGAAGGTGCGAAATTTAGGCACATGAATTTCTAAAGCGGTTAACAGTAGTGAACAAGTTTGTAACTTATTTTATTGTTTCATTATGGTAGTTACTCCAACTTTAGTAGTTACTCCAACTTTAGCTATCTGACGTAAATTTGCTGCCTACTGTAAAATGACTAATTTTCACTGGGTTTAAATTTCGCTGATTTACCATTTCAGGCATATTCAGTGGGTTTTAAATTCATGATTTTATCATTTAGATAATGTGTTCTATGCTAAATTTTACATACCGTATTCATTGGGTTTTAATTTAGCGCATTTTCCAGTCAGCGAAATAAGCAAAATTAAAACCCAGTAATTAATCCTTTTACAGTATTACTCACTTATGCAAATTAAATATTGGTTTGGGGGTAACTCATTTTCTAATAATGTAAGGGCATTTATTTTCACTATTTTTATACCTTGAGCATATTTACTGGGTTTTAAGTTCCTGGATTTGCTAAAATAAAGTATTTTACAGTATTTCAGAGAAAATCAAGGTTATGAGCAAACATTTGTGAACATACCTGGACCTGTGCAGTTTTTATGATAAATTGGATCACCATGGTAACCTGGTAGACACTCCTCACAATGATCACCAGTAGTGTTGAAAACACATTTCAGGCATTCACCAGTCAGGGAATCACAATTACCAGTTTGGTTCAGAATCACATTGTCATTGCAGTCACAAGCGGTACAGACTTTTAGCGTTGTGTTTGACATATAGAAATTGTCATCACACTCATTACAAAATTGTCCAGTGTAGTTTAGTTTACACGAGTCACATACCACATCACCGGTGTTATTGTTGAAATGTTCATCTGAAAAAGATTGAAAAGTTCACAGTGAAACCTGTCTAGACTGAACACAGTGCAACCTGTCTAGACTGAACATAGTGAAACCTGTGTAGAATGAACACAGTGAAACCTGTCTAGAATAAACACAGTAAAACCTGTCTAGAATGAACACAGTAAAACCTGTCTAGAATGAACACAGTAAAACCTGTGTAGAATGAACACAGTAAAACCTGTCTAGAATGAACACAGTAAAACCTGTCTAGAATGAACACAGTAAAACCTGTCTAGAATGAACAGTAAAACCTGTGTAGAATGAACACAGTAAAACCTGTCTAGAATGAACACAGTGAAACCTGTCTAGAATGAACACAGTGAAACCTGTGTAGAATAAACACAGTAAAACCTGTCTAGAATGAACACAGTAAAACCTGTATTGTCAACTGAATAAGTAAACCTGTCTAAACTTGGAAATATTGAAAATTGTTCAATTAAGAAAAAAAAATTGGGATGGCGACTTTGATTGTTGCACAGATCAATGCATACATGATAACAAATTTTAAGGTTTACCAGGGTAGTTCCTGAGATGATTGGAATACATCCAAGGATTCTACAATATGCAAATTATGAGTTGATCAGAACTCAATGTTTATTAGAAATGTGTGGAGCAACGACTACTGCCCTTTAACAAGTAAGTTTAACAAAACAATAAAAGTTAAAATGATTGTAACATACCATAGTGACAAGTCTGTGTAGATGAATGCTCCGAACATGGACACTTTTCGCAACTATCTTCTGATGTCTTGTTATAATCTCTGTAGTAAAAGGGTTGACATTGACTGCAGTCGTCACTAGAAGTGTTATTTGCACAGTCATGACATATCCCTGAAAGGGAATAACAGAAAAGGTTTTATGTAATTCGAGGACACGTTCAAAACAAAGTTTGGTATTTCATTTCTACAATTAAAAACCAAGCTAGGTCTTGGTTTACACAAGTATAAAAAACATGGAGCCACAGCATTCTGATTGGTTAATAACAGACTTGACCTGGCGGTTCAGAGGTCATTGTTTCAGGTCAAATCATGCAAAAACATGATGGACATTTCCTTGCATCAACGGTTTTTGTATGATCAGAAACATTTTGTAGCAAAGATACCAGTGAACTAGGGTTTGACTGTTTTTCCACACATTCTAATAATTATTACACTGTAAATTTAGATAGTACTGTAACAAAATGTGTGAATTTTTTGTGAACATTTTGTTTCGTCAGTATGAAAGTGTTGTGGATGATGCAACTCATTTTTAGATTATATTTTCCTTCATAGTTTGGAACATGGTTTACAATGTTAAACAAAATCATTCTTCATCTTTTCTAAGGTGGTCCTTGGGTATATGCCATCCCTTACTTTCCTCTATTTTACATTATTGCAGTCCCTGAGCTTATGACTGGCAGACTTCAGTATCAGAATAATACAATTCTGCTAAAATTTGAAACGTTTTTTTCAGAACTAAACTGTGATTTGAAACCATTTACTACCTTTCAAACTTTTTTTTTTTATCAAGACACTAAAGCCGAAATCTTACCCGTGAGTTTATCACACAATGTAGCATGTCCATTACATTGGCAAAGTGAACAACCGTCTGTTGTTAAGTTATAATAACCATCCTCACATGACGTACATTTATCACCAGTGACACCATCAGCACAGTTGCATCTTCCATATCTAGAACAGAAAATGATCATACAGTGTAAACGTATCAGCACTCGTTATCGATCTTGCGTATATACGTCACATGGAACTCACATGCCTGGTGAAATCGAGCAAAGATAATGTCATTATCCCTTCATGAATATTAATGAGATTGTATAATTCAGACAAATAAATAAGCAACAAAAAAGTAGAATATTGACAAATTTAATGGTTGTGACATGGAAACAATTTTGCAAAGGTTTGTTCAAGCTGTAAACAATTCACCCATAAACAAAAATGAAGTAATGCAGATGGAATTGAAACATCTTTATCATCTGTACATATTAGTATTTGATTGATTTCACTTAGAGAACAATGTTCAGTAATATACGTAATGTCAGTTCTATGTTTTAATTAATATACCCTATCACAATCAACATTAACAGTGGAGTACGTGCAACAGAATTTCGACAATAGAATCTAAATTTACATCCAGTAGTGGCAAAGTACGGCAAAGTAGTGGCAAAGTACGGCAAAGTAGTGGCAAATTCTACTCTGATTTTCTCATGCATTTCTTTGGTTGGCCAAATTCGTCAGACAAGGTAATAAATAAACCCCAGTATGCCAACACTCACCTGTCGCATGTATTGTTTACCACACCAGTGCTGTTACATTGACATGGCTCACACGGTAAAGACTCATTATACCGAAAGTAGTCCTCTTTGCATATGGTGCAGTTGTCGCCCTGGTAACCAGGGAGGCAGATACAAAGATGAGTTTCACTGTCACATTTATTATCAGATCCAGGAAGTTGACAACCAGGGCAATCATCTAACGAGAAAGAAAACAGAAAAGTTAGTTAGTACTACATTTTGTACATTAGTGTAAAGTTAGTTTTGTCAGGTACATGTACATCTCAGGCTAGTTTGCAGCCTGGAAAATTGCCCCTGTTTTGTCATAGCTACATTTTTGTAGGTCACACACATTTTTATTTTATTATGATTGCACTGATTAATGCTGGATGCATGAAGACGGGAAGAGCCACTGGTGGCGCTGTATACAATCGAGACCTATTAAGGCTTGCCGTAGCTCATTTAGATTTGAGAGTAAACTGCAGAAGCAGTTGTTAAATTTGGTGACCAGTTTAGTATGATAGAAAGCGTTTACAGTCTTCAAATAAACACAATAGATAGAGTGAGGGTAAAGACCGAATATACGCGATTTCAGAGTTTCATAATAATTTCTATTAATAATTTCACTTTCAAATAATATTCATGAGATATGTGTACGTCATAAGCTTGTTAAAGGTTATTAGCATATTGTGCACATGCTTTGGGCCCTTTTCCATATTCCACAACGCATGCGTCATCACAGTTAGATCAATTGAAGTTTATGTTTCATGCAACGTAACATTCAGCACCGTCAATGGGGTTTCACCACATTGATGGCGCTGAACGTTGTCTTCATATTCGAAGCCCACACATAAACGACGCTATCAGATATATACACGCCAATTACCCACCGACAGCTGAGAATTTCTACACACTCCCACCAAGTCATACGCTGTAATATGCAATTACAATTCTGGTTTCCCCATAACTCTGGATATATTAAGTATATAATTGTGAAACCTGACATAGCGGAATCGCTGAAACTTTAACTGCAGTGATGGAATTATATCTCCATCAAAATAAATACAGAATGCAATGACAAACCACTGGTAATATATAGGACATGTACCAAGCAAACCAATATCACCAATATATATAAATACAGTTACTGCAGTTTGAGTTAAATTCAAATTTTGCACTACTGAGCATGTCACTGCACATATATGCAATGCATTGTGGGAGATAACTTCAAATTTTGCACTACTGAGCATGTCACTGCACATACATGTATACGCAGTGCATTATGGGAGATAACTTCAAACTTTGTACTACTGAGCATGTCACTGCACATACATGTATACGCAGTGCATTATGGGAGATAACTTCAAATTTTGCACTACTGAGCATGTCACTGCACATATACGCAATGCATTATGGGAGAACATTTTCCTATTGTATAATGTAAGCTCAATTATTCGCTGGGTTTTACTTTCGCTAAAAGGTAAAAATTTTCACTAAATGTGCCCTATTTTTTCTTTCACAAACCAGTGAATTTAAAACCTAGTGAATATCCTTTCAGCATCAAATACATGTAAGCTAAAACTAAACACAGTGAATATTCAACTTTAACATTGTTTTTTAAAGGCCTATGACTAATGTTTGCATTGGTTGCTATGGTAACCAGTGGTCATCAGATCCAGATCGGTATTATGGGACAAAAAAGTTATGTATGCATTTAATGTTTTTATTAATCCTAATATTGTTCAAGATTTGCAACAAATTTTTAATATTAGTATTAACTTGAATTCAATTTTTTAAGTTACTTTTTTTTTATTTCCTTTTAGGTGATTTTGACAAGGCTTTTTTTTTCTTCATTTTAATTTGTACTACAGGATATTTATCAAAAGTCGGTCACAATTCAGGAAATTGAGTTTTCCGTGGACATGTTGATCATAAATCAGTGTCTGTGGCTTGGCATCTCTGTCTAAGTAGTGGTCTAAATGCATGCAATGTAAAACATAATCATGGTAGTTAGCAAAAATGTTTTTTAATTTGAGCCTAGCTTAAATTCATGCATGACCCCATTCTGGTATTCATTTTTAGGTATTGTTTTTAGCAATAATTAGTTTACAGGTTACTGAAAGCTAGTACCAGAGATAATGCTTCTTATACTGAATATATTTTTCGAGTACGTAGCACAAAAAAGAATAACAATATAGCTTCAAGCAATACCATATGTTATCTTTGGTATTACCCAAGAATGACCTTTTTATCATACTGTATTTACAACTGTATCTGTATGAAAATCGTAAAAATAAACACTAGAAAGAGGATGAGTGTGAATAGTAGCAGGTGAAATCTGTGAGAACAGTGGAGAGGACAGTGCACATACTCCGGTATGTGAAATAGCTATTGTTGTGAAATACGCTAATATTTGATGCAAGGGTTATTTTTGAAAAATTTTTAATATCCGAATTATCGACTCAAATTATTTCTAAAACTAAACAAGTACTCAGTAAATTTAGGAATGAAATATTTGTTATAGAATGTACTGGATCAAAGAATAACACTGGGGTCAACAAATAACAATGGTCAAATTATATGCATGGTGTGGATCAAATACCACAGAATATTATTACCACAGCTAATAATAGTGACATCATGAATATCACAGGTGCATGCTCATATACATGTAATTTTTAAATACAGCTGTATATACCGGTAAATTAATTGTTGCCAAGTTTTATTGTTTTGGAATTACTGTCAAAGCTGATTGGACTTTTTTCTTTGGCAAATAAAATTCAAATTCTTATTGATAGAGATTTCAACGTCCAGAAATTACCAGGGAGTGTGACCTCTTGAGGGTCATTACAGAATGTACATTTGTTTGTGCCCTGTTCGTCCCTATACCAGTATATTGGGTGCATTTTAAATTGCACAATGAAGGCATGATGAATATGAACTTTGCACGAGTTAACAAATCCAGGTATCCATGGTTATGTAAATAATTAATTACGTTACATAATACTATTTGTTATATTTGTTCTGCAAGTACAGAGATGTATTCATGGAAATACGCAAAAAGCACAAAGGAATTAAATGTACATGTAACCTGCTTATTCTAAGTCAGTGTTGCTGAATATCAACCATATTTTGTCTATTACATTTGTAGCTGTGCACTTCCAATAAAAGAGCATATCAACTGAGAATATAAAACATGACTTATTTTGACTCCTGAGACACTAGTCTATCAGTTAAGTAAGCATATGCACTACTATATGTAATAGAACACAGTAATCCACTATTGCTATTATTTCAAATTGCATTCAAGATTGTGTTCCTCACAAGAAATTTTTACATTTACAGTATTCCTACATGTATGAGAAATATACATCACTGTAAAACTTGAACTAGACTGTTGTGTGCATGCATGAAATATATCCTTTACAAGAGTATATGTACATGTGTACTGCATTGCATCATTTTAATATATTAATAGTCATAGATAACACATTGTTAAAACAGGAATTATATTTTTAGTATGAACAAACTTTTTGAATGCATTTTCTGAACTTGAACTTTGGACAGTTGCACATGTACATGTAAGGGCGCCAACGTTTTAGGCAAAAAAAGTGGAATTGGCCTTCGTTTTATTGAAATCATGTAGTGAAATATAAGGGTACTAAAGTGTCAGGTAAGGCATCAAGGTAATTGCCTTCATGGCCTCTGTCAATTCACTTCAAAGCTATGCATTTACATTTATCTCATCGACGAATACAAAATGGCTGTCATTGTTTCATGGAAACAAATTCATATACAAGTACTTTAGTTTTTAATTTGCATTTTTGTAAATTAGAATTGTGCATCTTATGCTCCATGGTTTTGCTTTGCATGGTATTGTTTGCACTGTATGCAATGCACAGTTCACCAGGGCCTGTCAACATTTTTACAAAGACAATGTCTTTGATTTTTAGAACATTTTTTTTTTGGGCATAATTTCTCAATTTTACTTCAATTGTCATGATAGCAATATGTTCATTTTACTGCAGGTGCTATCAGACTGGCACGGTATTGTCAGATTGTTGGATGAAGAGACAGGTACAAGTAATATTAAAAACCACCATTCAGTGAAAAGTGATAAAAGGTAACCATGGTTACACATAAATAATAAATTATGCCAAATTATGCCAAAAAAATATGCATGAGATTACAAACTGAAATCTGCACACAGCCAAGGTTCTGGAGAATATACATGGATAATGTACTCTGTCTATTTTTAGACTGATTACCGTCCTTACATATTACATATTTACATAAATTTACCTAATGATGTAAATTACATAATTTAACAAACAACTATATATTATACTCCCAATGAACTGTTTTTTAAAGTCCTGGAAGTTCTTAGTTCAGAGGAGTGCGTTTGGTTTTCATTAAATGTTCTCGTATTTGAACATTTTTTTTTAATGGAGACATCAATAGAATACATGTACTTGTGTAACTACAAACTATTAAACAGTACTTACGGTAATAAACTTCCAGAGACACTTAAGTAACTGTCATTTTTGCAATTCAGTTCTCATTGTGTATTTAATTTTGAAGACCATAAGCATATATCATTTTATTATTTGTTATAATGTGAGTAATACATGTGTAAGATATACAAAACAATTATCAGTGTTTTTAACGGTTTATTAAAATTCAATTCACATTTTGGTATCTACACAAATATGCAAAATAATTTCCATTGTACATGTATATAATTATTCTGTAATGTTCTGTCTATGTATAAAGATTGAAGTGAATTGCTCAAGGCAAGTATGATTCACATGTAGATATATATATATGAAATAGAATATGTCAAAAACAAAATGGCCATCTTGAATTTTGAAAGTGACCTGAATCAACTGAAAATAATTATCAAAACTTCTATCAAGTTTAAAAAAATCAAAGTGATGCATGCTCAAATCTGATGTCAAAATACCTGATTTTAGACAGTGTACTTTTACAACACAAATGGCCACCAGTTGGCCATCTTTGGTGAATCACAAAATCACCACACATGCATGCATGTATAAAATAAGTTAAGTTATGGGAAGGTATGAAGAAAATTGATCTATAGGTGTCTGAGATACATGTACATGTACAGCTCCAGATGCACCCCCTTTGTTTGAGTGGGAACATAATCGTGATAATAAATAGGTATAAGTACTAAAAAAA